CGAAGAAATGTCTTTATGCTGCTACTATTATTCGATATTGTTGGGGACGTAGTAGTTGAAGCTGTGTACACATGTGTTATTGGTGATGTGTGGTTATATATTTTTTATATCTACGCAGCGCCGACGGAGGTGTGTCGTTGCCAAAAGCTTGAAGAATGATTTGTAGCAGACATTTTGTGGGAAACTGCAAAAATGACTTGAATCTGAACCCGTCGTATGTGCAGACATTGTTTCCAGTGGCTTAGAATAAACGGGCACCTCACGCAGAAACAGTGCAGAGGTATGATAGGCAGTGAAGCGCATAACTAGAGGTTTTTAGCTTGACGTTTTTGTGGTGCGCCCCGTTCCGACAGCTTCCGCGAAGCCGCAGCCGAGCGGCGGCTGATTTTTCTCTTTTAGGTATTCGTTGCCGGCAGCGAAGCGGACGGATGGATGGATGGATGGATGCTATGAGCGTCCCCTTTATAACGGGGTGGTAACAAGTATGCCACCAGGCTCGACAAAAAAAAAAAACCTTTTTTTTTATGTTGGCCTAATGCCTCTACTTCGATAAATTCTATCTTAATGGAAAAAAAGGTAAATTTTCAGCTTAAGTTCTCTGCCATTTACGGCACACTGTCCATATTTTATTTTTCCAATATTTATTTTTGTCCTTTCTCTCTAATTTTCTGCCACCAATACTCTAACCGTCTCTTACTTATTTCAATCGCGGGTGTGTTCAGCTTTCCATTGTTGTCCCTAAAACCCAAGGCTTCCTGTAGGCTCGTGCCCAAACGTACACCTGGGTGGATATCTCCACATTCAATCAGAACATGCTCCGCCGTTTCCTTATCTTTCCCGCAGCATGTGCATTGTTCTTCTTCTTTACTGAATCTTGCTTTATAACTACGCGTTCTAAGGCAACCCGATCTCGCTTCAAACAGTAAAGCGCTTCCCCTTGAATTATCGTAAAATGCCTCCCTCCTTATTTCATTTTTGCCCTTTCGGTAGTTACTCAAAGCCGGTTTTTTCTCCATAGCTGCCATCCAGTAAATCCTCTCCGCCTCCCTGACTTTTCCCTTAACGCTCTTTGTTGACATATGGCTTACAATACCAGCCGTATATTTACTAGTGAGTCTTCTAGTTCTTTTTCTCCTTTCGCAGTTGCAGCGCCCTCTGGTCGTTTTCATCGTCGGTAAACAAAATAAAAACATTTTTTTTCACGTATACATTGCAAAACAATGACGTATAATATATATTTTCATGAAGTATTCAGAAATCCACTTTCAGTGTATTAACCGTCTATTTTTTTGACAAAAAAGCAAGCTCTGACTCACAAACCCGCAAGGTTCCGTTCCAGATCCATTGCAAGCATTCACTGTGCGTTGTTTGCGCTTTTGACGCGTGTGTGGTGGCGGCGTGTTTATTTTTCACCGTTGAAACTGTGTTTTCGTGGCTTGCACTGGGCAGGTGACGGCGAAGCTGCAGCACTCGCGGAAAGCGTGCCATCTCCGGAGGCAGCCATCTTGAAATGTTGTTGTTAGTGGTTCATGAGGAAATGGAAGAAGGCACCTAATTTCTGTCTGCCTACAGGCGACACGGCGCAGTGCCTATTCTCTCTTGAAATGAGCAAAGTTGCTGCACGCACGAGAGAGGGCACGCGCGTTGTCCCCCTTCCACTTGCAAAAACGGCAGCGACGCACCGCGCTCCGCTCGTAAGCGGGGAATACGGTCCGCTCGTAAGCGGACCGTATTCCCTGCTCCAGTAAGCCGCTTAAGGCCTTAGTGGAAGGCGCATGTGCACTCGCGTTCCCGCTCCGCTTAGCTGCTAAGCAAAGCGCAAAAACGTCAAACTAAAAAACCCTACTATCTATGCATTTAAAACCATTTTCTGAGGACTCTTGATTTCTCATTTCAAGCTCAGCGAGAATGCGTTTTGCGTATGCGCAATTATCAAGTAAAGCTAAAATAGAAGGGTTTTGATCAAACATGACACTTTCGCACCGCCACATTTTAAGAGTAAAATTGGAACGCGGTTAGTAACAGGCACATTGCTTTTTTGATAGTTTTTATACAAAGTAAAAATGATTCAAACAACAGACAATGCAAAATGTTTAGTCAATAAGTTTTCATACGTAGCTATCTCCGTGAAGTTCACGTATCAAATGTTTCTGTACCCACAGATGGACACAATGGCTAGTGTTTTAATGGGGCATTTTGCCTTCGTACGTGTTTTCATAGAGCTTGATTTCATATGCAGTACTTGTTTTATTTTCTGGATGTAAGGCGTTACGAACAGGATCACGGAAAACCCTTAAATGTATACTCATTTTCAGACTTCTTCTACATTTTATACTTGAAGATGATATAAAAATTATTATTATCTGGCGCACTATAGATATGCTCAATGTTGATCACCGTACAATATTTGAATAAAAAAAAACTCCAACGTATAAACGTTGTTGTGTACGGCACGATCAAATCTCTGCCACAACCGTATTTTGCTTACGTGGAAGCGTCATTCTGTGAGGGCAGCCAGATCAGCACAAAAATCCGTAGAGCAGGCTGTGCCGCAAGGTAGTGGTCAAGATGACCCAGTAATGCAAGATGAAGAGAACTCTGTTTTGCTCGATGTCACGCTTTCAAGTAATTTAGAATCGCTAGAGACGCCTCTCACACCCACCAGTAATTTGCTTCACATCGGCTACATGGCTGAGCAGACGCTGCCTTTTTATCAAATTGCCCTCACGAAAAAAAAAATCCTCAATTGCAGCGATCCTGTTACACGCGTACAGAAGCGTATACATCATAACCGCGCATGATGCGAAACTCTCACAAACACGTGCAGAACGCGTGCAGTGTGCGAGCAAAGCAACGCGTTTTCAAGGCAGGTTGAAGGGGACAGCGAAAGGGTAAACACTCAAGTAACCAGTTTTCACCCCGCATTGACTGACAGTGCCAGGCTCTGCAGCGCTTCGCTCGGCGTGAGTCTCCTCTATAAAGTGCATTCGCACTTAAAATACGCGTACAGGAAGGCAGAATCTGAAACTGTGCTAGCGCAGAAAGTTGCTGCCAAACGCCTCAAGCCAGCTCTGACTAAAGGCGCGGACTCACGTTTTAAGTGCGACTTTCTAGAGAGCAGTTTCGGCCACAGCTGCAATGTGCCACAGATTGTGGTTTGCTCACAACTTCGTCACGGTATCAACAGACTGACTAACGAACGGTCAGACAGACGGGTGGACCATGCTTCGCCACATTCAACATCATTCATTACGTGGATATACTGCAATTTTTTGGCAGCACTTCCTAGCTGGGTTTATCATACTTTTATCTTCTATTTACGAGAATTTTAGCTTCACTTCGTCCTTTTTTATGCTCAATTTCAGCTAGCAGCAAACTCTGCCACTTTGCAGTGCTCTATGGTCTTAGTCAGCGTAAGATCCTTCGCCAGTAGAAGCCACGTTCGGCGGTTCTTGACTACCATTTCACAGACCAGCTCGTATACAACCGTCTATCCTTTCAAGTCTCCGAAATTTCAGCTTGCGGCCTTCAGCATGACTGAAAAACCGACAGCAACCATGTAGCAAAAGTGTCCCTGTCTTCCTTCCCCGTCGTATAGAAGAGGTCGCTTCAAGCATCTAAAAGCTGGGCCTTGGACAGGAAGTAGCGTAGCAGACGTCGCACCATTGCGCTCTATACAGATTCATGTGATGTGGGGCTTGGTGTGATTTTCCGATAGTGCCAGGTGATGTTACATAGGTTGTCATAAGTCATCACTTGACATGACGTATGCGGAGTTTTTTTTTTTTTCTTTCGTAGTAGGTTCAATCACTATGCTAATCTGCTATCCACTCCTCTACTCATACTTGCAGGTGATTCTCGCGAACGTGATGACGTACTTATTGCATCTACCAAATTTACGTTTCTTGCTACTCTGCAAGTATTCACGTGAAAGCGGGACAAATCACCAGGTTTTTTCTCCGTCAAACTACCACACAATTTTCTCTTGCTTGTGCAAACACACTGGCTTTACGATATAATAAGCATGCCATATAAGCCTACATACTATCGTTCCTAATTCGTGCATAAAAAAGGGCTTGTGCAGCAAATGCCAATTTCTCATACCCCAACGCATTTTTCCACAAAATGGGTGCTGAAACACTACCTGTAGTTAGCCTTGTTCAGCAAGAGAGGCGTTTTCGTATAACAATCTGATTGTGACCTCTATAATATAAATCTTATAACACTGAATCAATAAAAGAAGATCGACCTACACTTTTTATGGAGTACCCGCATGTTAGACCCACATGTGTATTAGTCCGTATCGTCACAGTCACGTTTTATTTTAAAACGTTTATCAACAACAACAGTTCTAAATTGTGTTGTATCCGCTGTTGATGAAATGTACCTCTTTGATGCACTTTCAGAGAACACTTTATTTCAGAACTTGTTCTCTTTTCTTCTATGTTTGTTGTTCGCCTGCAGATTTGACCTTTTTTTCCCTGTGTATGTTCCGTATGTGTAGACCCGTAGATACTGTCATATTTGCAAATGTCATGTTAGTAGGAACAACAACAAAAAAACAATACTACAAAAATAGAGTCATCATGTTTCGCACAACACTATAAAAACCAATAATAATGAGAAATATGATCTTGATTCGGTGATAGAGTGAGGAGAAAAATGAATTTTTGAATATGTTCGCTCTCGTGAAGTAAGGTTTCAATGCATCTTGTCCTCAGTGTTATGTGGTTCTTTAAATATGGGGCGACAGGCATAGAGATCATCCTTATAAGTAGCCTACACAACAATAATCACCCCTTGACTAACCACAGTGCAACAAGTGTATGCACTCGCGCGTGAAATTCCTGCAGAAAAGTGAGTCTGTCTATGCCTTCCAGTCGAGCCTTACGTTGGTGGTTGGCACCGTGTAAGCCTGCGCGATGATCAAACACCAAATACATAAACGTCGAGAACCATCGTTGCCAGGTTCTAGCAGTAACAGTACTATCACTTTTGCATTTTCGACACAAACACGTTTATTGATTCAAGCACACAGATTGTACACTATGTACCGCTACGCAACAAGTGAGTGTGCAGTGGACGTCTGTGTACATTACTTTCTCTATGTCTTAAAACACGAGTACCGCAGCTTAGAAATTGCACACTATATCACAAAATTATATCACCTTTACCTCAATAAGTAGACAATAGCACAGATCCTTGTTATTTTATCACCTTTCTCTATGGACATTCTTTAAAAAAATGTTTCAGTAAGGTAAGACAACTGCACGCTCCAAAAATTTACCTACACTGTAAGGTTTGTCATTTTTTACTTCAGTATTATCCGCTCATACTTGGCGCTGAACAGCAATAAAAGCAATATACGACAAAGAGGTGCTGTAGGTCTGCTCTAACAAAACGATCATATTTCGAGATGCCAGATGCTCTTTTAAGTTTTAAGCGGGAAAATAATCTTGCTCTGCATACGTTTTCAACCCCGTTTCGCGGTTCAAATTGACTAGTATATTCAGGAATGTCGGCTGCGAGGCACTGTGCTTTGAAGCGAGAGTCGAGTGAAAAGCTCAAAATTTGCTCATAACCTCATTGTTCCCGCGCAGAGCTGCATTGGTCAGAAGAGCGTTGGCGACAGGGTTAATGCTCGTGTTACTGTAGTTGACGTGGTGCAATGAACTAAACCCTATGCTGTTCGAAAGTGAGTCCTCCGGCGTCTTCTGCGGGTTATCCTTAGAACCTTTGCAGGACAGCACTAGTTTCAGCTCCTTCCACAGCTCCACCCAGACAGAATCCTAAAAGAACAAATGAAGGAAGCTTTAATAACAACACCACAAGTTCTACGTCCCAGAATCAAGATTATATTATGGGAAATCCCGTAATGAAGGGCTCCGAAAATTTTGGCCATCTGGTGTTCTTTGACGTGTGCTGACATCGTCCAGCACACCAGCCTCTAGCATTTAGGCTCCCTCAAAATGTGACCATTACGGCCGGGATATTACTCGACTTAGAGGTATATAAATCGTATTGTCACTGGCATCCTTACAACAAACATCTCATGAATATATAAAGCCTGAAGACAACACATCTATATCACCAATAGCAGTAATAAAGATATTTTATATCTTTTAAGCTGCGTGGTTCAGTGAAGAGCAGATGAGCGAAATCCCTACACATTTGAATACATTTTTACCATACACCTCAGACCCTCCTTTCTTTGAAAAGCTTAGGATGGCATGTACGCCCCGTTATAAAAATCTCATTTGACTGCTGTGAACTTCCACATTGCCTATAATGAGGAAGACTGTCTCAAATATCAATAGTTCTATGGCGAAGAACTTCACTCGCGCTCTTCAAATAACACAGACTTGAACTACTTCAGAAGAACAGACGGCTGGCCCGTTAGTTGGCAATAGTTCTTGAATACGGCGTCGAAAACGACACGGGCACCAGAATAGGTGGTTTGTCCAACAGTCGCCTAGTGCCTAGTGTACGTATCGTTTTCACGCAGCTTTCAGGATGATGATTATGAAACAACAACAACAATATATATACAAATTATTGTTATTATTATTATTATTCTTTCTACCAACTGGTATTCTCTAACATGCACTGACATCGGGAAGTACACGAGCCTCCACCACCTTGACTATCGAAACATGACCCCCATGGCCGGAATTGAATCCGGGACCGTCGGGTCAACAGGCAAGCGCCATTACCACTGTTTCACCACTGCAGATGAAACTCTTGTCACGTGACAGAACAAGCGTGCGCGTTCGTCTTATGGTCGTGTTAACAGAAGAGGGGTGCTGCGCAAATGTTCCTCCTAAGAAGCCTTCATGTGTGTGCCGGGCAGTGCGCACATGAAGACTTTTTAGTTCCTCCGCCCCTTCAGCGCAAGCTAGGATTTAACAAGATTTTCTTCCTCCTACTTGCTCGGCAGAGAGAAACAGAGAGAGAGCGCGAAGTTTGGGAATAAATAACTATAACAGTCAAACGTGACTAGATTGAACTCGGTTAAAAAATTATCCTTTATATCGAACTATTTACAAACACTACAATGATTTGACCTCCACACATTAGAATATTTACGGCTACATCGAGCGAAATATAGCCGCAGCAGAAAATATCAAACAATAGGGAGGGCGATAAGGCACAGAGGGTTAGCTTTTCCTCATAAGAAGTTAGCTTTTCGTCATCGAAGGCGACTTTCAAGCAAGTTTTTGGGACACTGTGTGGTGTGATTAGGTGAACGCGCCAGAGAGCAAGCAGAAACCATCGCTTGCCACTGCCCGATTTGTCCCTTGATTCGTACTGACGCAGGCTGCCTTCCTTGCATTATCATAAAACAGTCGAGTGAAGCCAACTTGTGCAACAAAATTCACATATAGAAAAGCGGGCTTGTTGGTTTTGAACGGCATCTGATGTATCGCGCAGCTAGGAAGGGACAGGGCAAGCGCCACATAAAACACATACAGCACTGTACGTGTGTTAAGTGGTCCTTGATCTTGCCTTTCCTAGCTGTACTATACACCAGACGAATCGAAAATACTGGAATTTTTTCAGTTGATACCGAAGTATGCGATATACTGAACTCAGTTCGGTATATCCGTGTTCGACAGCGTAGACAGTTGCAGTCTAACAAATAATACGTGCTCCACTCACGATATCCCGGCGCGCCTGTCATTGACTTGTGCAACTGCGGAGGCATCTCATCTATTTTCCAAGTGGCAGCTGTCACAGAACGAGCGCTAAAAATGGGCGCGCCGCCAAATTCTTGCGGTAACGCGCGGGAGAGACGCCGGGAGGTCAAAAGAAAAAAAAAAAACATCCAAGGCTCCCCGGGCGCACGCTCTCCCCTTGGAAGCGTGGCGTCGCCGATGAACCTCCTCACCCCACATCGGCGGCCGAGATAGCCCGCGAAAGTTCTAGACGAAAGAGGCGTGGTCACGCCGGGTTGAGTCATCCCTCGCGGAGGGCATTCCAACCGTCTCGCCCCCTCCCCAGCCTTCGCTGCGTATCGCGCCGACGAAATGACGAGAACTTTCTGGAATGTGGCGCGGAAGGTATTTAACCGAGCAGCGGAGATGAGAGATCAGGAGAAGACGGAAGTTAGCGCCAGAGTGCGTAGGGATTCCGCCGTGTTTCGGCGAAGGTTTTGTCCGTAGGGACGAAGCAGGAGATGAAGAGGATTTCCACCTGAGGGGTGAAGGCTCGAGCTACAGGCAAGAGAGTGTGTTTACCGCTATCGAGCGAAGACGCGTGGCGACAGCTGCGTGTGTGAAGCCGACGTGTTCGGGCGAAGAAGTTTGAAGCTTGGAGACTGGCCAATTGAAGACGCGAGGTTTCCTGGAAGAGAAACTTCGAGGGCGCGGAACGACAACAACGCTGGACTTTGAGTGAGTGATTCTCGGAAGAGTATCATTCAGACTTTTGTTCCAAGAACTTTGGACTGAATAGGTTTTCTATCTCTCTAGTCTTTAAGTGTCTTGGTTGTTCAATGCATGCGACTGCATTGTAGTGCGTATCGTTGTCTGTGTCCGTTGTTTTGAGTGTGGCTGATTGTACTGTGTAGTACGTTGTTTGATTGGTGACGTATTGTATGTAACTATTGTGGAGTGTACATTCTTGTGTATTGTTTTCGATCTGCCATTATTGAGAATATAGTTTTGTTTGTTTATCAACTCTCGGCTCTGACTTGTTCTTTGGGCCACAGCCGGCGTCCGCTGGCGCGCCAAAAAGGACCACTTCTAAATTGTCCACGCTTTCGTGGTGCGGTTCGGGGGGCCGATACTTCGGCCCTTGGAATTAGCCCGGCGATCGCCTCCCTAATTAACGGGACCTGTGTGCGACACCAGCACATTTTCTGTACTCTGTAAACACTACGCAAAATCTCGAATTGAAAGTTTTTCTTCCTTAGAATACTTCGTTTGCCTGAGCAATGGTGTCAGAACCTCTGATAAGACATTCCAAAGGACTGATGCCGTTGAGATATACTAGTAAAACAAATGGGAGTAAGCGCAGGACATAGGCATGTGCATGCGGCCCCTTCATTGGGGGAGGAGGGGCAAAATTCGTCGCAGTAGTTCTCTTTCTATCAAATGAACGTATCATTATGACAATTTAGCAGCTCAAACAAACAGGACAAAGTAAGAAGGTACACAATCAAGCGCAGGTTATAACAACCTTTTTACTTTGTCTCGTTTGTCCCCGCTGCCAAGTTGTCAACATGAATGCACACCATCGAGCCTGCCTATAAACTCTTCTACAAGTCAATCCATGTGGCAGACTTTGTGCCCTCCCCCCATTCTTAGGTAAATAGGGGAGTTCCACCCTGCCTTTACCCTTCCCCCCCCCCCTTGCGCACGCCTATGATGGAGCTTGACGCCACGGAAATGAGGAAGCTGAGGATGGAACATTCATATGAAAATAACCTCTATGTGAGACAGTGATGGCTATTTGTGGAGCTTGTATTTTCCTACCTATAAATGTTGGGGTTGCATGTCCTATACGATGACAGTAATACTAGAGACGCTGTAGAGAAGGGCTGCGGAAATTCCGACCACATGGGGTTCTTTAACGTATTTTCAGTCGGTTACATTAGGCAACCGACCATAGGCTGCTGTGCTTTCCATAGGTTCTACACAGAAGAACGCTACTGGTGCTATTAGTGTCAAGGCAAGCTTTCTGATGGCGAAGAATCTAACACATTCTCCGTTTTGTTGAAGGTGCGGCGTTTATGGCCACGACGGGAAAGGCTGCTCGCTGCCGTGTCGCCGTTGTGGGGACCCGCATGCTACCATCGCCTGCACCATCAGGCCATTGTATTCTGAGGCGGCGTCCAAGGATTTCCCTCCACTTCAACCAGGAACACCGTCTAAGAACAGGTGCGATGATTCGTCAACGCGAGCCGCGGGAACCGATCACGACCAAGATGCGCCAATTGCGACGCTGCACCAGACGCCCACTGCGTCCCCAATGATTCCGGACCCGGTAATTCCTCCAGGTCCTGAAAACTCAAGTTCCCTGCGTCCTGTGGCCACTTCTAAGGAATCGCAGGCCAAGCCCTCTTCAGACGAGGCACCTCGTGAGGAAGGCGTCTCAGATGGAAATATGACATCTGACGCTCCTCGCATGGCTGCTCAGTCGACCACAAGTTCAGGTGTCATCGAGGAGTCTACATCTCAAGACGACGATGCCTGCATCTACGAGGACTCCAACAGCACCTCGAGTGAGGCACCCCTACAAATTGACGAAGAAACCAGCCCCATTGACATTAGCCAGGACAGTGCATATGCCTTTGTACCATCCTCGCTCAAGAACCCGGACGCCAAACGCCACCGGATAACTACTCGTGACTTAGAAGCCCGCACCAGAGACAGAAGTCCCTTGCGGACATCGACGCGATCCCGGAAGCCTCGAGCCTGCGGTCGATCGCCTGGCCGCCAAAAATGACTCAGCCATTCGCGGGGCACCGGCTCCCGCGCCTGCTAAAGGGACCCCTGCATTTGCGTGTTCCTATATTACGCTTTAATTTTCCCCGTGGCTCTTGCTCCAAAAGTTATCACTTTTAACGTTCAAGGTTTCCACCATCCACAAAAACAAGCTCAGGTATTGGCTCTCGCGCATTCAGTGCACTGTGATTTGCTGTTCGTGCAAGAAACAAATTTTTTCAAGCTTTCTGGTGTACTAGCTTTCACGCGCGCGTTCAACATTGATTGTTTCTTTTCGTACGCCAGCACGCTTTCCACTGGCGTCGGAGTCATTATTTTTAACCGAGGTCTTTTACGCAACC